AGATTCGTTTAAATAAAAATCTTAATTTAATTCTAAAGTTGTTTGTGAGATTTGACAAGTGAAAAGTTATTAATTTACCACTAATTCATTTCTACTATTCTTTAATTTTATTGAAAGGTCATCAAAAAGATTCTAACTGATTTGTAATGAAGGAATATAAATTTTATACTAGTTGATTGCTTAGTCACTTGGGATCATCAAATTTGAACTCATTTTACAAACTCCTTGCTCTAATATTTTATAAGGTTTAAGCAGAAGACTTCTAACAGTAATATTGTTAATTTAAAGTTCTTCTGATTACATTTCTTAAGAATTTATAAATAAGCTTAAATGGGTTGGAAATTCAAATATATTATTTGGATTTTATTTATCCCTGTTGAATTACAAGAATGTTCTAATAAAATTCTCTTATATGATGTTAAATTCACCATAGAAATAAATTCCAGGCCCATTGCTTGCCTCATTATCTAAAATTATAGTATCTTACATCACCAAAGTTTATTGATTTATTTCTAGATCTAAAGCGCCTTAGGCAACATTACTATTATTTATGATTTTACAGTGTGTAATCCTTGTGGAAATGTTAGCTAAATGTAGGGCTGCACCATCAGTACCACCAAAATTAGAAATAAAATTTGAATTCCAAATCCTTAAATTTTAATTTTATCCAATTTGTGATACAAAATTTAGGCACCCATAACTTTAAAGTATATTTGAATTACACATTAAGTCTCTTATTAATATTGAACTATAATTTTCCATATTTAAGTAAAATATTCCATTTGTGCAAATGATACAATCAATATTGGAAAAAAGGATATTTTCCAGGAAAAAAACTGTCTGATTTGAAATACTTTGAATGTCAATTATTGACCTCTGTCTCCAATTTTTGTATGCGAGGGAAAAGAAATCTTAAAAATTGTAAATTATGGGGTTCTATAAGGTATATTCAACTTAATTGCAATCTAAGTTCATGTACTTAATTTTAGGATTGAAGATGATTGGATCATCTGAATATTCCAATATTGTAAATTACTACAATTAGAAGAATTTAATTATTATGGTTTACTTAATCAATAAATCCTATTTTAATTCAAATAGACTGAATTAAGAAAATGATTTAACATCATACACCTTAAATTAATAAATAAATAGCTTTGAAATATTAATCAATTTAATTAAAGTAAAGCCAAAATATCCTTAAATATGAATATTTTACATAACAACTTTACAATTTTTTAATTGAATCAAGGCAATTGAAGTGCTAGATAAATCTTCTATTTCAGATTAGGTAATCATTTCAAGCTTTTTTAAATACTTAATCCAAATATCTTTGTCTTATTATATTGTCATATTTCTAATAATCACTTTATTTTAATTCATATTTTATGTTTAAGATTATAAATTGATTATTGTATTCTTTAATGAAATCGAATTTATAATTTAGATATCTTAGAGATTTGGAACATTCTTCTTTAATGAAGGAAATATTGTAAAAATTGATGATGCCATTCGATTGAAGATATTTTAAGATACTGCCTAAAGGATTTTTAAATTAAGTAAACTGCTAGATGAATCAATAGTAATACAACCTGTACTATCTATTACTTAGGATAAATCATATTCTGTTGATCTTATCGTTAGATTTATAAATTAGATATCTCCAACTTCTTAAATCCTTATCTCAAATATCGAACTTTTTTATCCAATTATATCCTCAAATAAACAATTAAGGCAGAAAAAGGTTGACGCAGTAATTAGACCTGCTCCACCTTTGCTTTATATATTGAGAATTTATTAAATGATTAGATTGATTTGTTCCTAATCATATTAAGTCATGTCTATTGAGATATCATAATATAATTTCCATATTTCTTAGGGTAATACATTAAGGTTTTAAATGGTATAATTTGTTAATCGGATTATTTTTGATTGAAAAGAGAGAAATGAATTTGAAGTATTCGTTAATGCATTATTCTAACAAGAAAAATTCGTAATCTCAATGGTTCCTGCCTGTGATATTATTGAGATTAACTTGATTGAAGATTCTAATGAAGTATCGACGTAAGAATGTATGAAATTTCTTACAAAAACTAAATTATGCAATTTTATGTGAGATATTTATTCAGATTCTATTGTAATAAGAGAGCAAATACTGGTTAATGACTATTTTATTAATAAGTTTCCTATAAACTATAAATTTGTCAATTGAAATATACTATTTTAAACTTATAAATTTTTTCTACTTGATAATATCCTCAACAATGATTAATCAATACTCAATTATTAGTAAATTTTAATGTTTTCTATTACAATTGTATCGAAGCCAACGATAAAAAGGAGCTAATTTTGAACATAATAATTATATTGCGCACAATTTAAATTAAGACTGGCTTTATAATTTATTTCAAGATTCTCATATACAATATTTGAAGCAAAGAATTTTTTAATTTCTAGAAGATAGAATATGAGGGAATTATTTGAATTAATAATCTTAATATTCTCAACATTTAATTGGTAACAATGAATATTAAATGGAGTGATTTATTATTAATGATGGCGTACCTCCTTAATTCTTGCTGAAATTAGAAAGGCATTTTAATTATACATACAAATTTTCATTTTAAATAGTTTATTCGATGTATAAGAAAGTGGAGTTTTTGAAATCATTTTGATAAATTTATAAATTTTCAATCAACACATTAATTTTTCTCATATTATCAACCTACATTGCAGCCAAAAAATAAGAATCAATAAATTTATTGTTATTAAATTAGGTCTAAAGCAAGGTTAAATTGGAGCTAAATCCTATTATGGTTGACATTTCTACCTAATTTTATTCAAAAATAAAGTTAATTATCTGAAGTTTAAAATGGTTAGTAGTATTTAAAAAATATGAGGACTAAAACTAGTTAGATGTTAATGTTATGCCATAGGCTACAAATTAGCTTTCAGAGATGAACTCTGTGAAGAAAGTGATAAATGAAGTATTTACAAATTAGCATGAATCAATAATTAATTTCTCAATCTAAATTTTGATTTGATTGTTAAAAAATACAAATAATTAAGAATTTGTAAAGTTGCAATATTGCAAAATCATTTTTTCAATTTTTATTATTCCTGAATATTAATGCTATTTAAAATTAAAAAATGAAGAGTTTGAAAAATTTGAATCCATTATTTAAATATTCTTTAAAGTAATATCTCCAAGTATATCTGAATCGAAAATAGAATTGACATTAGAAATTGAACTCTAATTAATCACAATGTTTGTTAATTATAGATACACTGACTAGTTTTTATTTTCAAGTTAAATATGATCATAATTTTTGAATTAGAAATGGGCATCATTTATTTCTATAAAGTCAAATCCTTAAAAAATAAAAAAATTAACCTCATTTTCATAAAAATTTATTACAAGCTTGATAACTCTTAAACTAAAAATTTCTGATTTCAATTCTGTCTTTTTCATAACATTATTATTAGAGTCAATCTCATTTTTCTTATTAAGAAGAATAGATAAATTAGTGATTCCTATTTAATTACAATATTAGACATTAACCTAAGAATCAATATCAAAATAATTAGCTATTTCAATAATCATTTCTTAATTGCAATTTGAAGCAAAACAATATTTAGCAATTAAAAAGTATGGATCAATAAGGACATTTGGATTTGAAATTTTTCTGATACATTTGTTTGTATATTTCATGTTTAGTTCACTAAACTTAAAGTTTGGATTTAGATTCTAAAAATAATTAACTTTGATTACATAAATTTCTGTTTCCGATCTTCTTTCGCAAACTTCACATAATTCAGGACATTCTATACATTAGCCGTTTGCTTCCATACGAATTGGTTAATAGTATTTATTCAATGGGCATTTTACACAGGTAAAATAATCAGAATTAATTGATAATTCGCATTTCAAACAATCAGAAGAGCAATACTTTTTGCATTAATAATAATCATTTAATTTGTACCCTTCCTTACATTCAACTTAAAATTATATCACAGTTTAGTCATCATAAGGTCTTACGTAAAAATACTAGTTTGGTAGAAATTTCATCATAAAACTTTATATTCTCTAAACCCAAGCATCAAAAGTTTATATCTCCCCCTCAATAACTACCTTTGCATCAGCTAATGAATTTTGATAACAGTCTCCTATATTTATAGAACTGGTAAATCCACTCTCACAAATGATGCATTTTACTACAGATTACGGAGTCAAAAGACATTATAAACAGTTTTAGATAAACTTATCACAATTTATTATTTCTGGTGCAATAGTAAAATCAGAAGATGATAAAGTGCATATCTCTAAATTCTATTGGTTAATAAAAGAACTTAAGCAATTAGGCAAAGTTTATAATTTATAAATACATTATCCAATAGTAAAATCATAAATTAAATTTTCCTCGCAAAATGCACATCCAACAGATAAATTTTCATCTAGTTCAAATTTATCAAAGTCAGCATACAGAGTGCATTTTGATAAATCGTTCTTATTAAATTCAAAGCAATATTTGCAATTTTTCAGATGGCATTGCTTGCATTCTCCGACTGAATTTTTATATTTAGGGGAAACGCAGCTATTCTGCGTTTGAAATTCGAACCCACTTGTACAAATTCCATTTATTAATTTAAAAAAAGTTTCACATTAAATGCATTTTATTCCAGTAATTTCTATAGAACAAATATTACAATTTGGTAAATTACATTCATAGCAAGTATTTTTGTAAAATGATGTATCAAAATTGGTTTTGCTTGTTTAGCAAAATTACTTAAATTTTGAAACTAGAAGATTGAAATTTTTGTACATAGTATTAACATTTGGCAAAGATTATTAATCACAAAATCTACATATTGAAAATTCGAAACCATCAAAAATATAATATTGATAATCCTCTTCAGATATTGTTTTTACTGTATTTCCATTTGTATTTATATAAAGTGTGGTTTAGCAATATGAGTTTTGCATCCATCCCTTGACATTTTTTATGCATTCTAGGCAAGTAGTTAATTAGTTAGTAATTATGGAAGGACTTAATATTATTAAATATTTACCATGCATAACATTAATCATCATACTCAAAATACCCAAATTTACAACCATTTTCTATTTGTATTTGATTTATTGTTAGTTCTAAATCAGTATATGATTTACAATTCTATTTCACTTGATCATCATAATAATAATGTGGGCATATACATGATTTATATTCTGATAGATATATTCTTGATGATTCTTCAGAGCACAACAAGCAATCTGTTTTTGTTGGACCATCACAATATTTACAACTATAATGGCAAATTTTGTTGTTCTATTAAGGTTTTAACAATTATAAAAATATTAATTTCTAGCTTAAATATCAAGGTAATTTAAAAGAA